AGGTGGGGCCCAGTGGGAAGAAGTTAGGTTATTGGGGTGCACTCTGGAAGGAGACACTGAAGCCTCAGCTCTCCTCTTTTCCTTCTCAGTGCCCGTGAGGTGAGCAGCTCTGTTCTAGCACATTCTCTTGTCCTCATACACTGCCCTTGCCACGTGCATAAGGGTAACAGGGCCCAGGCACCATGGACTGAAACCTCTGAAACTGTGAGTCATCATCAACTTTTCTTTTAAAATTGATTACCTCAGATATTTTGTCACAGAGGAAGGAAGAGTAACATCAAATTACAAAGCAGAAAGCTTGACTTTGGTTCACAGTTTTAGAGAAGTGGCCACAGTTTTGGCCACTTGGGCCTATTACTTTTGGGCCTTTGGTGAGGCAGAACCTCCTGGTGGGAAGCAAAACAGAGCCAGGAAGAGGAAGTAGTGAGATCCTGTATCTCCCCAAGGCCATGCCCCCAATGACCTCACTTCCTCTCACTAGGTCCCACCTACTCCCAGGAGCACTGTGGTGTGGGGACCAAGCCTTTAACACATAAGCCTTCAGGAAACACTTACCAGACCACAGCACCTTAGTTCCCTGCCAGCTGCTGGCTGGTATCGGCTGGCATTTTCCATTTCCTGCTAGGTGGCCTCTGTCTTGTGTTCATCAAGGCAGCTGGCATCTCCAGGTAGGTGGGCCAAGAGAGCCCAGCAAGCAGGCTGTGCACAGCCTCTTTATGACCTTGTCTCCAGGTGAGTATCTGAGTCCCACCACATTGTCCTGTTTGTGGGAGGAGTGAGTCCACCTACCACAGACAAGAGGGCAATGAGGCTGTTTTTCTTGCAGGAGGCACAAGAGGATCTGCTGACCCATCTCAGAGACACCATAGCCCCCAAGTGGGAGCACTGTGGATGGATCCAGAGCTGTTTCTGTTTTTTGTTTTGGTTTTTAGAGGCAAGCTCTTTCTGTGTGGTATAGGCTGCTCTTGAACTCACCATGTAGCCCAGGCTGGCATTGAACTTATGATGATCATCTTGCCTCAACCTCCTGAGTGGTGGGGTTACAGGCATGGATCACCACATCCAGCTGAAGGATTGTTTGTCTGCACATGGAGCACATTCCAGTGTGCAGATTTCCTTCTAGAGCATGTGCATCACCTGGGGAGGAGACACTGTGTCACCGTTTGTAGAGGTTACAGTCCATAGTTAACTGATTCCAAGGAAGGCCCACATGGCAGGGCAGTCATGGCGGAGAAGCTGCTCCTGACATGGCAGACAGGAAGTGGTGAGAGAAGGGAGGAGCCAGGGAAGATCAACCTTCCCAGGCCATGCCCCTAGTTACCTCTCTCTTTGGACCAGACCCCAGCAAACGGCAAGTGAGCCGTAAGCCCCCATCATCCAACCATCTAAAAGTCCCACCTATGAGTGCATGAGGCTTGGGGGGACATTAGACATAAACTTGAACATTGACTGTGTAGATACAGGGCACCAAATGTCAGAGGTTCATGTAAGTCCAGAGTAGTCCACAGGGCTGGACAAGGGTTTCTGAAATGAGACAGCACACTTTACCAGAGGTGGGACTTCTTGGGCCTCCAGTTGCTCTGTGGGTTGAGGAATCTGGAGCTGCCTGAGAGACCCTCCCATAGGAGTGGTTGCTAGAGGTGTAAGAGAAGGTGGAGAAGCAGCCCAAGAGAAGCACTGTCTCAGGATGAGGGAGAGAGCCAGGAACACCATGCTTCTGGGTAATCAAGTGTGAGTTCCAACCCACATGTTGGGAGTGGGAGTCTGTGAAGGGAGGTGCTAATGATGTGATGACCACAGGGTCACCGCTTGCCTTCTCTAGAGTAGAAGCAGCCTGTGTTCCTCAGGCTCTTTGCCAGACGCTCAGGAAGTATGGTGAAAGCAGGGTGCTCTGTGGTCTCCGAGAGCTGGAAGGCATCCTCTCTTCTCTGAGCCCAAGGCCAAGCTGTTTCCAACACTGTCTCCTGCCTCAACCCTTTCTCTGAATTTGGTGAAAAGGAGGTAGGGGTACATGTGGAGAAGGATACCTTCATGGAGAGGAGGGTGGCAGCTGAGTTTTACCTGTGAAGTAGGAAACAGAGTCATTATTGCAAGTATGGGGAAGTCTTCGATTATTGGACACAGGAAGTAGAAAAGGAAGGGTGGATGTGATGAATTTATAGCAGCAGTAATATCTCCATTTGTGTAATTTTTCCCTAGTAGCACTCAGCAGCTTGGGTATATTAAGGAAAGCAGATGGGTGTTGTTCTAATTTGCTTCTTTATGTTTAAAATGGATTTCGTATAGACAGCATATAGTTAGGTGTTGCTTTTTTCCCCTTGTAATCTGGCAATCTCTGACTCTTAATTGGGGTGTTTAGGCCATTTACATTTTAATGTGATTATTGATATAGTTGAGTTTAAAACTACTGGCTCGCTCTTCATTTTCTACTTGTCCCATCTGTTCTTTGTTCCATTTTCTTTTTCTTCCTCTGTTTGGAAATTGAGTCACTTTTATGATTCCATTTTATCTCCTCCCTGGGCTTAGTACCCATCCCTCTTCCGAGTGTGTTTTCCTGATTGTTCTGGCGTTTACAGTATGGTCTCTACTAATCACTGTCACCTTTTACTGATGTTACACTCCTTCATGCACAGAGAAGACTCTCACAGCAGAATGCTTCTGTCCTTCCACCCTTCCCTATTTTCATTTTTTGTACATGTTGTAAACTGTATGCTCTTGCTATGTTTTACTAGTCAATTATCTTTTAATGGTATTTAAGGAAAAGTCCTCTATATTTATCCATGTAACAGCTCTTCCAGTGTCATAATTCCATTGTGTTGATGCAGATTTATTTATGAGCTCATTTCCTTTATTCTTTCAATTTCTTTACTTTGGACATTTTCTTTATTTTGACCACTGCTTTGAGAAGTATCTTTGCTGGGTATAGAATTCTAGGTTGCCAGTTCCTACTTCATTTAGTATTTTAAATTATTGTTCTACCTTCTGGCCTTCAAAAAGCCCAGAAAAAAAAAGATTGTGCTGTGACTCTTACCTGCATGTGTGTCTGCTCTCTGGCTGTTTATGGTATTTTTCTTAGTCATGGTTTTAAACAATTTGATTATGAGGTACGTTGGGGGTCTTCACGATTCTTATGCTGAGGGTTAGTGAGCTGAGCATCTTGGATCTATGGGTTTATAATTTCCAAACTGGAAATTATAAACCCATTATTGCTTCAAATTTTTTCTACCCCATGTAAAGCCACAGTTCAGAGAGACTCCAACGGTTTACTCCTGCTCTGTTTAGAATTTCTTTCTTTTTGTATGTTTGAATCATTCCTAGTAATGACTTCAAGTTCACTAACCTTTTCTCCTGCAAACGCTAAGCCAGCACATTTTGTTATCGGACTTTGCAGTAGCATCTCTTGACATCCTTCCTTAGGGTCCATCATGCATGCTCCTCCCCCAGAAGGGATTCACCTCTGCATCCTGCTGACCCACCACGCACTGATCCCAGCCCTTCACCAACCGTGCTTCTGGTTAGGGCGAGGCTGAAGGGGCCAGGTATGATGCCCCCTTCAGAGGTGGCACAGGAGGAAAGGGGTTGCCCCAGTCAGCAAGCGCCTGCCCTGGCTTCCGTCCAGCGAGGCCAGCACTCATGCTCCCAATGACCCTAATACAGGGCAGGCCATGGTGATAAGCCCAGGGATTGACTGACAAAGGTTTCCTCTGGAGAACCCCAATTATGCCTGTGCCAGGCGGCCAGGCCTGCTGTGGTTTGTGTGCCCTCCAAGACACATGGTGACCCTTGACTATCCCTATGATAGTACACGGAGGCCAGGCCCATTAAGAAGTGACCCATTGGTCAAAAAGAAAAAAAATAGGCATTAACTGTTCCTTCCATGAACCATTAGACTTCAGCAGTACATTTATCACAGCTACATGTCTATATCTATGTCCATATATAGATATATTCCCTTCCTTCTTCCTTTTCTTCCTTTTTCTCCTTTCCCTCATCCCAGTTGTTCCAAGTAATTTCTTTCCCTTAATATCTATTTCCCATAATATCTATTGTATGTTTTAGATTTCATTTACTCTTTCAGGCTTCTATACTAGGGAGACAACATGGATGTTTACACATGTGGGTCTGATTTATTTCACTGATGAGTATGGTGTCTAGTTGCATCCATTTACTTAAAAAATCCTCAAGTTAATCTTTTTTTTAATAGCTAAGTAATATTCCACCATATAAAAATACATCTTTTTTATCCATTCCTCAGTGGATGGGCATCTGGGTTGTTTCCAAGATTTAGCTATGACAAATTGTGCTGTTATAAACATGGGCGCACAGATATTGCTGTGGTATGGTGTTTTTAATTCTTCTGAGAAAATACCCAGAAGGAGAATAGCTAGGTTAAGTAGGACTTCTAATTCTAGTTTTGTGAGGAATCTCCATGCTGATTTCCACAGTGGTTTCACCAATCTACACTCCCAACAGCAGTGGAGAAGGGTTCCTTTTCCTCCATCGCCCCTCCAGCATTTGTTATTGGTTGATTTCTTGATGATACCCATTCTTTCTGGGGTGACATGCAATCTCAGTGTTGTTTTAATTTGCATTCTCAAATGACCAGCGATGTTGGCATTTGGCTGTTGTTCTTTTTTTATTATTCTCTTTAAAGAAAAAAGTGACCCATGATGGATGAAGGCCATTATGGAAGGAGGGGCCTTGAGAGCGGCTTTGTTCCAAAAGCTCCCTCATGCCCCTGACCTCTCTGTCGTGCCCCCCTTGTGCCCACTTCTGCCAAGTTGTGATGGAGCATGAAAGCCCTCACTGGACGCAGCCCCTCTGCCTCAGACATCCCAGTCTCCGGATGTCAATTTCCTTATAGATCACCCAGGCTGTGGTTCGTGCTGCAGAAACACAACATGGACTAGGACAAGGTCCCAGGTGCACCCCGCCCCTGTGGTCTGGTGTGATGGGGTGGCCTCCACCCATGCCCTGGGACACCAGGAATACACCACAAGTGGCACGGGTCGTTGTTTATTGAGAATTCACACAAGGTAAGGTCATACAATCAGTCATTTCCAAGGTTTCATAAAAATGATTGTCACTCACTGTGCTTCACAAAAATTCCTTTTAATGAATAAATAATTTGATGAAATCAAAAGTATTCACAATATAAACACAGGGGAAAGCCTTGGGTCTGTGGATCTGACCATGTTGCAGCTTCGCACTGAGTCCTCCCGAGCTTTTCCCTTGGAAACATACACATCTGACGGAAAGAGCTCCTACAACACAGCTTTGTTCAGTACATTCGCCGGTTAGTCCTGGACAGCTAGGTAAGCTTCTATCACGTGACATGTTAAAATACAAATATTAACTAAAATAATATATTATCATAATGCCAGGTAGCATTCTCCACAGAACAAAAACATACACTCAGCTGTAACAATAGGAGGATCACGGGCCACAAAAAAATACCCAAAGGTACAAATTCCTTCATAAGAATATAATTGTGCTCTTCAGTCGGCAGATGTCCACGCTGCTCTACCAAGCCGGTGACAGTGACGAGGAGGACAGTGTCTGACGACCGTATGCTCTGTGTTTCTGTCAGGCAGCAGCATGGCCGGGAGTTGGGCAGTGCAAGCAGTTTACAAACACTTCCTTGGGCTCTTAATAAGAGCCAATTATGCAAAGCAAAATAAGCGTATTGAGAAGTCTCCATCTCATTTACAGCAACACTGTGGACCATCTTGGCCTGTGGCGGGAGAGGGTTTGTCTGCAGAGCCGGTTATGCCATCAGCCAGAATTCAAGTATTCCAGGGCCACCTCGTAGCAGAACTTGTACTGATCCTGGAAAACAGAAGGGGACACTGTGAACTGTCACATGTAAACATGACCTCTAGGAGGTACTTATGCCAGATGAGGGTGTTAATTGAAGAAATCAAGCTGATAAGGATTTGGATTAGAAATGAATCAGAAAGTCATCATTTGGAGCCACAAATACATTCACTGTTTGTGACTTGTTTTCCTGCAGAGCCCGATGAAAGTGTTCTGCTATCTGTGCCGTTAGCATCCCTGGGATGTAGTGGATGACTGGAAGAGCCCCGAAGTCCAACATGCCTGTCTGGGGGTGCCACACACTTGTATTCAACTACTCTCAGGCCAAAAATACCTGAAAGGGAACTGTGTCTCTACCGAACACGGAAGTCTTTTCTTCTTGTCATCATTTCCTAAACAGGGGCTGGGGATTTAGCTCAGCGGCAAAGCGCCTGCCTAGCAAGCACAAGGTCGTGAGTTCGGTTCCCGGTACCGGAGAAAAACCAAAAAAAAACCAAAAAAAAACAAAACAAAAAATCATTTCCTAAACAATTATTGATGTAGGATTTACACTGTATTGGATGTAAGGAATCCAGAGATGACGAAGTATATGGGACAGTGTGTGTAGGTCCCACGCAAGTGGTAAACCTCTCTGAAAAATGGACCTGAGCATGCGGATGTTGATATCTGCTGGGGATCTTGGAAGCCATGCTCCATGAATACAAAGGGATGACTGTGTGTTTAGCCCTACATGTCTACTGGTATAGCCACAACCTGAGCTTCCTCCAACCTTCGGTCTCAGGACTTTCTCCACTTTGTGAGAATTTCTTAGCTACTTCTTAGTTACCATGGCCCTTCCTTGGACCCTGTTTTGGAGAAGCCCACCATGCCGGTGCAGAGGGTGAGACCAGATGAGATGGCCCCACAGGCCCCATGTCCCTAATGTGTGCTGCAGGGTCTGTGGAGGAGAGCGACGGGAGGGGGATGGCGGTGGACGCACTGTCCATGGAGGAGAGGATTGATGTGTGCACGGAGCTGGGTGGGGACTCCGCCTGCCAGCTGTCCTGGTCTCTGTCTGGGTCCTGACAGGACTGTGACTGGCATCCTCTTTTACTTGCAAGTGGACCATTTCAGATGACAAAGTATATGGACATCCATTATAACTGGGGTAAAAGAGACGTTCCAGGGAGAAGGAAAAGGCATAAAAACAGAATGTGTGAAATTCTCCGAGAAGCATCAGTAAATTCATATTTCTGTTTTTAAAATTATAAACACATGTGAATATTAATGGGTTAAGTGTGACATTTCCATGTATGTCTACAGTGTGCACTGATCAGAGCCAATCTCCCTCTCCCCGCCCTCGACACCTTCCCGATCTCCAGTAATCACCAGTCTGCCTTCAGGTCAACTTTTATTTTGAAGCTTTTTTGTGTGAAGGAGCCGTCTATTTCCATGACTGGCTTACTTCATTCAAAGCCCTCCAGTTCCCTCAGTTTTGCTGCGAAGGGCAGTACTCCACTGTGTCACTAGACCCTATTTTCTTTACCTATCCATCCGTTCATGGGCACCGAGGCTGAGTCCGTAGCTTGGCTGTTAAGAACAGCGCCGCAGTAAATGTGGTGTACACCTAACTTTTTGTTATACTGGTTTCATTTCCTTTCAAGTGGGATAGGACGATCAAATGACAGATTTTTTTTTTTTTAGGAATCTCTATACTGTTTTCCATAGTGGCTCCACTTATAATCTTGCCAACAATATAAAAGGTTTTTTCTCCCCCTGCACATCCACACGAGCATTTCTTGTCTGTTTATTTTTATCATAGCCCCTCCAGCTAGGGTGAGATGGTTTTACTGTAGTTTTAATTTGCATTTCCCTGATGGCTAAAGATATTGAGAATTTTTTTTCATGTATTTGTTGGCCGTTTACATTTCTGTTGAGAAGTGTTAAGATCATCTGCCTATTTTAAAATTTACTTACTTGGTTTTCTATGAAGTTTTTTGAGATCTCTGTAATTCTGGAAGTTAACTGTCTGGCAGGAGACTAGTTAGCAAGTATTTTGTCTCATTCAGGAGGCTGTCTCTTCACATGGATTGTTTTCTTGGCTGTTCCACCAAGCTAGAAGCTTTCCAGTTGGATGTGATCCTGTCAATTTTTTTTTTCCTGTTTCTGGGGTCCTGTCCAGAAAATCATTGCCCATACCAATGTCTGGAGGGGTTTCCTGTGTGTTTTCCTTTAATAGTTTCAGAATTTCAGGCCTGACATTTAGTTTTTTGCCTTCCTTTGAATTGATATTGGTACAGAGTGAGAGACAGGGCAAGTTTGCAATGGGTTTCTCACCTCACTATAATTCCTGCCAAGTCACTATGGCACTGCCCACTGGAGGTCATGTGCTATGGTGCTGAGCCAATATGGCGCTGGTCACTAGAGGCCATGTGCTAAGCCCCACCCTTCTTCCTCTGAGTCAAATTAGGACTTCCTACTTCCCTTTTTGTAATAGCCTATTTCTTTTTCCCATGCTCTTGCCCAATCCTGGTCTGCCACGTCAGGCGGTCCACCTCCTAAACCCCACCTCCAGCCTGGGCCTATTTAACCTTTGACCCTAGGCCAGGCCTTCAGAAGCTCCACGTACCCCTTTCCTACTGTGGTCTTCTCTGCACCCACAATAAAGGCATTTTATTCTGTTTTACTTCTCTCTGTGCTGGAAAAACCTATCAGTTTGTTTTTTGCAGATGGGTATCCAGTTTTCCCAGCACCATTCATTGAAGATTCTGTCCTTTCTCCAATGTATGCTATTGGCACTTTTGTTAAGAATCAGTTGGCCATAGATGGGCTTATTTCTGGGATGCTTATTCTGTTCCCTTAGTGTGTGCAAATGTTTCTATGCCAATAACATTCTGTTTTGGCTACTATGGCTCTGTGGTATATCTTGAAAGTGGGTACTGTGATATATATAATCTTGTTCTTTTTGCTCATGATTGTGTTGGCTATTTGGGGTTATTTGTGACCCCATATTAATTTTAGGATTGTTTTTGGTCTAATTCTATGAAGAGTTCCATTGCATTGAATTTGTAGATTGCTTAGGGTAGTACACAGATTTAAAAATATTAATTTTTCCAATCTATAGAGATAGGTATTTCAGTGTCTTCAATTTCTTCAGTGTTTGGTAATTTTCATTGCCTAAATCTTTCACTTCCTTGTATAAGGTTTTCCCAGGCATCTGGTTTGTTTGTTTTTGGTAGCCATGGTGAGTGGGGCTGGTTTCATGATTCTTGTCTCAGCAAACTGATTATTTGTGTATAGAAAAGCTACTGAGTTTTGTAAGTTGACTTCATATCCTGCTACTACAATGAACTTATTAGTTCCACAAGTCTTCTGGTTTACTCTTGAGGTCATTCTGGATAGAGAATCATATCTGTACATGGTGACAGCTGTCATCCTACTTTCTCACGTTCGTATCTTTTATTGCTTTCTCTCCCCTGGTTGTTGTGGCTAACACTTGCAGTACTATATCAAACGGGAGCAGTGAGAATGGCCAGCCTTGTCTTGGTCAGGACCTGCAAATGCTTTCTGCTTCTCCTCATTCCCTACGATGCTGGCTGTGGGCTTGGTGGAGACAGCCTTTACTGTGTTGAGGTGTATTATTTCGATTCCTGATATTCTGAAGGTTTTTTTGTCATCATGAAGAAATGTTGAGTTTTACCATGAAGGGGTGTTGAGTTTTATCAAATACCTTTTCTTGAGATGATCCTGTCTTTCTCTTTCATTCTACATGACATATTACATTTATTGATTTGCATGCAGTGACCATCCTTGAACATGGTAAGTGATCTTGGTGTGCTGGCATTGTGTTAAGCGTGTCTGAATCTATATTCATCATGGACTTGGTTTATTGTTCTTTTTTCTTCTTTCTTGTGTCCTTGTCTGATTTTCATTAACAGGGTAATGCTGGCTTCATGGAATGAGTTTGTAAGTATTCCCTCCCTTCCAACTATCTGGGTATTCCTCAAGAACTAATGCCAGTTCATTTAAAGTTTGGTAAAATTCAGCAAGGAAGCTATCTGGTCCTGCACTCTTCTACATTAGGAGACTATCACTGCTTCAATCTCATCACTTGTTTTGAATCTGGTTTTTCATGTCCTCAGGTACAATTGTGAAAGGTCATATATGCCTAGAAATTTGTCAATTTCTTTTAGTTTTTAAAATTTGTTAGCATATAGTTTTAAATAATAATCCCTAATGACTTTGTATTTCTGTGGAATGTTATAATATCTCCTTTTCCATCTCTGATTTCATTTTTTCTGAGCCTTCTCTTTTTTCTTGTTTAATTTAGCTAAAGGTTTGTTAATTTTGTTTACCATTTCCAAGAAACACTTTGTTTCATTAGTCATTTGTATTCTTTTTATAGTTTCTATTTATTTTTGCTTTGATGTCTTATTTTTTACTTTCTTCTACTGATGCTGGATTTGGTTTGTTCTTGTTTTTTTAATCCTTGAGAGGTATCATTATTTATTTGAATTTTTTCCCCATAGGTACTAATTGCTATATATTTTCCTCTTAGTACTCTTTTGCTGGATCCCATAAGTTTTGGTGTTATTTTTCCATTTTCATTATTTTTATTTTCATTTTTTTGTACCAGGAATTGAACTCAGGACCTTACACTTGCCAGGCAGGTGCTTGTGCCACTGAGTTATATCCCTACCCCTATTTTTTAAAAAAATTAAATTTCATTTTGATTTCTTTAATGACCTATTGTTCATTCAAAATTGCACTTTTCATCTCCATGCATTTGTATAACCTTTACAATTTCTTTTTTTTTTGTTGACTTCTAATTTTATTCCACTGTGGTCAGATAAGATAAAGGATATGATTTCAGTATTTTTAAGTTAAGACTTATTTTGTGGCCTAAATACATGCTCTATCCTAGAGAAAGTTCCATATACTGATGAAAAGAACGGTATTCTCAGTTGTTCAGTGGTGTGTTGTAGTCTACTTGATCTATAGTATAATGTAACCCTGATGTTTCTTTGTTGATT